TACCAACAGGAATGTTCTTCCAATTGTGAATGCGGAATGATTTTCAAGGTTCTTCCTAACAGGAGAACATTGTATGTGCTTAATGTGTTTCATATGCGCGCTAAAAATTTCTTTGATTTCTGTAAAACATTTGGAGTCGCTGGTTACAGTCATATTTCGTTATCCGTTTTATGTAGTTCACATAAAACTACTTTAAAATTGATAAATTTATACTTCTATGTATATACAGGATGTTCTGGGATTTTCGTCATTCAAATCGTGGATGTTCGAATAACAAAGCTAAGAGAAAAATGTTATATGTTAGCTCCCACAGAAATATTTGTTACTATTTCGTTGGCATATTAACATTTAATATTATCGTTGTCGTCATATTGATTAATGAAAATCTTTGATTATTTGAAAAAAAAGGTTTTACTTAATTTTTAAAAAAGAAAATTTTGTTCCGATCATTCAAATTTTACTGTATCAACTGTATTCTTCTTATTATGGAAGTACGTTTACGTAAAAAATTGTTTCCGACTACGGTTTGTAAAAGAAGACCAGGAACATCCTGTACACACATATTTTTAGCTTTTAGACTCGTACTGATTAGATTAACGTGAATTATAGCGAATTTACGCTTAATGAAAGTATTCTAAATACTCGAAGCCTCCAGTCAAAGTAAAGTAAAGTAAAAATTGCTCAAAAACTGCTGGTCCGAGCTTGTTGATTTTTACTTTACTTGTCGCCGACCTGTTCGTTTTACGAATTAAAGAGGCGAGTAGGAACTAATGAGTACATAGCGAAAGATGTAACGACATGTTAAATTTATAATTATGAAAATTACGTGTTCCAGTGTTCTGAGATTCTAATGTTACACGTTTCAAAGTTCTAGAACGTAGTGGATACGTGTTTTCATATGGAGTATAGACCTCCAAGATGTCACTTAATGAAACATGTATCGGTCTCTATGAGATTCAATGCACCGAAGACGAAATTCCAAATTGGAATCACTGACCATTGAAAAATAATTTCAGTTTCGTTATACTCACAATCAGTGTCAGCAGATCAACGAATAGCGAGATGGGTGACTGTATTGCCTAATATACTATTTGTGCTTCAGCGACAAAACATTTCCAAACTTTTCTGCAATATTTGCAAATATAAAACGTATAGGTTGATCCGCTCCAGTTTCCTGTTTTAAGTGACTTCTTCGTTCCAAATGACACAAGAATGTTTTCCATAACAGAATGCATTAAATGCATTTAATTGCAAATCATTTTTTACCATTATGATTTTTATTAAACCTATTGTGGTGATATTCAATTACAATCTGGAGTTTATAAATGTCTAATATGTTTATTATATTAATAAATGACATTCTGTCATCTGATAGTTAAAAAGGAATCAAAATAATATCTTGAAGTCCTTTAGATTGATTATAAAATTTATTCTTTGATATTATTTAAAACTCAACGATGATAAAAGTGGAGTTTATTTGAGGTGACGAACTGGAGTGATTCACCCTGTATATATATATGAAACACAATCGTTTCAACATGTCACGTATTATCCAATGGCCCAGTTCACTAGGCGCTTTTTAATCGCATTTTTCATTGCTTTCGTGAAACGTTTCTTTCGTTCGCCTAACGCTACACCTGGCAGAAAGTGTTCCACCAAAATCATTAGCATGGTCATTACAGTTCAAATGTCTATACAAATCACGACTGTGTATATTGCATTGTAATAGACTGAATGAAATATTCAGCGCGAGTAATATTATACAGCTAGAGATAAAATTTTAATTTTTCATGTTTCCGTTAATCTCTGATTTATTATAAAGTCGGTTATTGTATTCGATTTACAATAGAAATGTAATTTGCTCGATTGAATACTTTCTGCAAGGGATAATATAATTTCTATTATTACTATATGCGTAGACTATATTTGCAAACATGATTGTGTATATCACTGTTGGATCATCATTACCGCGGCCATCTTTTTTATCAGTATACTTACTCGCTATCATTTACCAGTTCATTTGTTCATGCTTCTTTGCTGTTGACGAGATCTCTCCTGCGTTTTGTAAACTGTAAAACTTTGTTGCCTTTTTTCTAGTGAAGGTACAAAACTTTGTCCACGCGTATACCCACCAGCCAATGCAGTTCTTAAAGACGGGACTGTGACTCATGCATATATTATTACTTTAATTGTTCAGATTTGTGTGTAGCATCCATTCGCTCTTATCGGACCTTGAGCCAAATATTATTATAGTATTCGTTTAGAACAGCATCAGAAGATATTTTCAGGCGTAGATATATTTTCCTCGCGATCAGGGTGGTCCATTTCGATCTCTCCATCTTATGTTATTCAACCAATAAGAATAGAATACATATTCGAGGCACAATGACTGCCGTTTGAATTTAGAAAGAAATATTTCGAAATGATAAGAGCTTTAATGTAATTGATCTTTCACACTCAATTGGAAGTTCTGATGATAAAAGTAAATAAGACGTAAACGGACCATTCTGTGTCTCCGTGTCGGAACACAATACAACTTTCGCTAAATACACGAATCAAAACGTAAAGAAGAGGCTAGAGCAACGTTATCCTTTGCTTAAATGATCAAAAAATAGTTGAACAGTCAACTGGAAAAATTTAAATACATAGGGACCGTACATTCATAAGGTAAAAACAGACGAAGGTATTACTTTGTTCAGTTGCAATTAGAAAGTAAGTAAATAGTAGTAGTGTGTACTGTGTTATGTATCCACCAAACGAACGTCCCACAGACATTCGGGAGCAATATTAACTAACAAGTTGCTCTTTGGTCCCTTGGTAGATACATAGCTTTATATTATTCTGCTCTATGCCTCATCAAAGACTACAGATCAGTTTACACCACTATGTAGTGTTCAAATCAGGGGTTGAAAAATATTATGACCAAAATTCATTAAGAATATCATTAATAGTCTCCATCTTGTTCCAGTTCAAAGCACTCCTGAGGGACTTTGATTTGACTTAGGCTCTAGTGGAATTTTTAATAGGATAATATAATTCCTATTTAATAACGGATTTTCTAAATAAGTCTATGAAGATTTATATTTGGATATATGTCTGCAGTTTTATTCCCATTTATTCAGAATCTTTATGTAACTATTATTAATTAATGATTATTCTTGCAATTGTTTTAACCCCTGGATTAAACACAGATGCACATGCCCTCCCGAAAATCCCTAGTATGCGATATTGCGTTACAGCTTTGATTTAACGTTCGGTTTGTTTGCCAATTTTTCAGCTAAACCGGAGCAGTGAAGTTCGGTATAAGCCGCTCAGCACAACACACGTTTAAACAAAGAAATGTTTCGTCGCTCTGCGTGGTTAAAGCAACGTTAACATAACAGATTAGGAGACACACGATACACGGCCAACGATGGTGTTTCGCTGAACAAAAACAAAACAAATAATGAACACGAAAATCGAAGGACGACCTTTGCTAAAACCAACTCGTTTCACGAAACGTCTACATCTCGACTACTATCAGCCACGGGATAAACAGAAAGAAAGAAAGATAGAAAGAAAGAAAGAAAGAAAGAAAGAAAGAAAGAAAAAAAAATAGAGAAATATATTTAAAGAATCAGCTGTCTGTATGTGTTAAAACACACTCCACACGCGTGTAGGCCATTCTCTCGAAGTCTAATTCGCATTTTTAGTTCTTCAAGGAATTTTTGGACACCTTGCAATATACCGCTAGTTGAGAAAAGTGATACACGCTCGGTATGTCCCACGTTAGCGTGATCCAGCGTCCATACACATTCAAATCTATCGATCGTCAGACGTTTATTGTGCACGCTAGAAGTTTGTCTTCTTTTAAGCCTTGTCATTGTACACATATAACCCAATGAAAATGTACCATTTAACATGTTTTGAAAGTTTCATACTGACTTCGTAATAAGATACGCATTGTAAATTTTTTAATTGAACAAAAGAAAAGAAAGAGAATGGTTTTTGATACCAGGTTGCCGTAAAAATTCATTCTACAAGCTAAACGAAATTTTGTAATTGCGAAATTTATAATAATGCTTCTTAAAACGTTTTCTATTGGAATCATACAACGTCAGACACAAACATATTTGTACACTGTTGCCTCTTGCTTTCACGTGATGCTAATACAGTCTAACAACTAAGTTGAACGATACTCTCGATAACCTACGTTTAGAGGTGAGAAAGTAAATGTTTATAGAATAATGCAAATAATTTTTAACTTAGTGTTAAGCTGGTAACGTTATTAACAATTGCAAGCAAAACGGTGTGCGAACAGATTTTTTTTTTCATTGTGAGTACTCAAAATGGCGAGCAAAGTATGAAGAATTAGAGAGATTATATATTCCCATCAAACTGTAAAATTGTGCCAGTAAATCCTTCGTTTTGTGTAGCGTATTGTTGATATTATTCGAGAAGAGATTTCACAACAGTGTTACATGCATGAAAATGAGGAGTGACATGTTAGGAATATAAAATACTGGACATTTCCAATAAGTGATAAAATTATTCCAGTGGGATCTTCCATTTTAAATAGCTGTTGCTATAATTGATTATCCTCTTGGTCACTATGTTGAATGGGAACTCGCAGAGCAACCAGTGCCTTTTTTGAGATACTTGCGCATATACTTCATTACTCTTTGTATGCGATGTTTGTATATTCAATCCCATTTTACCTTCGGTTTTATTTTGTACGATCACGGAAATAGTTGTGGTTCCACGGCAACCTGATACGTGGCTGCTCATCACAAGAACATCATATTTTAATTTACATTTTTCACTCGTTTTGTCACAGGTCAGCGAAAGAAAAAGAGCTCAACCAGTGTTTTCGTTTTTCAGACAATACTTTCTGCACGAACTATTGTACTCTGATTTCGCGTGTTCCCGCAAACGGTTTGCGTTTGCGTTTCGATGACTGCCATATATGTTTATAAGAAGCACACTAACTTGGGACATGATATATAAATATATAAATAAATATATAAATATTATATATATATATATAAATATGAATTAGCTTTTAACAAATTCTTAAATATATGCTGCGCTCTAAGGGAGAAACGCATTGGAGAATTATAAAGAATGGAACACACTGTGTAATAATTAAAAAGAGCATCCTCTTAACACGATCCCAAATATTAAGGAACATTCTACGGAATTAAAAAGAGAACGAAGAGAGTGACGTTTTTAATTGTTCGTTAGACTTCTTCGTGTACGGCGTAGTTATCATCAAGCATGAACGCATACGTCTGTATGTCTGTCTATCGATCTGTCTGCATATCTGTCAACCAGAATCAGACTTCAATCGATATTGATTCCACTGGA